ACCCGGGTAGCGAATAACAACTTGTGGGATAGTATCCAACCCACTATCTGAATGGTATAAGTAGTATGTTTAGAAGAAAAATTAATCTGGAGAGCTGGTGCGCGATGAGCTGTCGACATCAGTTCACATGACTTGCACTGTGGGGTTGAAGTACTTTGGTTCTTTGCTATAAAAGCTTACTTCACTACTTATCAGTCAGCCGTGGTTGAACATTCTGGATACTAAGCTCGAGTCTTTTTAGAGTTCAGTGAGATTTGTGTTACTGATTAGCCTTAATGAAGATAAAAAAAGCCGTGCATTGCTTCTCGGCCTTTCAACTCCGGATGTAGGATGAGGTCATTGACCGCATCGAACTAGTGTATCTGAGTGTTATGTGAGGCTCCAAATTGAGAATTTGAATCGTGTCCTCTTAGTGAAGCTAGTGATAGTGAATGATTGTGGCGACACGTTTTTTATCGGACCTTCATCTTCTAACCGATTTTTTACGATTGGCAGCCGTTTGTGCGAAATGTAGGGACGGATTTTCGAACCAGGCTAGAATATCATTGATAGTGCCACCCGAACGAATCCGATATTCACACCAGATGGAGCCCGGAAGAAACTTATCCCGAATTGAATACTCGTATTTGATTCTACCGATCAAGGTCTGTCATGTGTAAGGTGCATTGGGTCTCTTTTTCCAACGGGTTGTTCTCCGATAACTTTTGGAAATGGTTGCTCCTGAGGTCTGCGTTTTTTTGCTAGATTTGAATTTCCTGCAGAGAGTTTGTATTGATTGCAAGTCATTTTCACTCTCAGATGACCTTGAAAGCAAGACCACACCGCTTGGTTTTTAAAAGTCATCATATCTCATCCACATAGCGGGCGGATTTCCCCACCCATATTTCCTGGAGTTTTTCTATTCAAAAAGTGCATATTGTGGCCACTAACGTCATTGCTTTTGTTACTGTGTCATTTGAGTGATGGTAAGCGAGCAATTCTATGCAAAAAAAGTTTCCTCGGAAGTAGTTTAGTGTCAAGATGGCAATTGATTGAAAAAGGAAAACATGCAGTCTTGGCTACATCAGTATTCAGTGGAGTAACTGAGGTACTTGTCTACTTGTTTGCGTTCCCCTAGTTGCTGTGGTTAGTACTTACAGTAGGCCCAGGGTTTTGTGCACGTCATAGTGAATAACTAGGTGTGTGAATTCAGTTCGAGAACCTGTTTTCAAGCGTCATCGAACGAGCTGTCACATCAATGGACAAAGGAACAATTTGAAGGTTTCTGCCGCCAACTTCAAGTATTACATAAAAAGGAAGGAAGGAAGCGTTCAGCTGTATCACCCTTTCGATGGCTTGGTGATGTTACGTCGGAAGGAAACACGAGGGCCGCCAGGTCGCCCAAGCCTAGACAGAAGCAGTAGAGATGCAGAGGCTGGGTTCGAACCACTTACCTTCCAGTCATTATGTTGGTGCCTTAGGCAATGAGTCACCTTGGCTCATTCCACAACAGTTCTGTCACAAACGGTCATCTCGAAGCTCCGAATCGCATATGTAGTAACGATGATGTTCTCCTGACGTCACCCAACAAGCAAACAGGATTGGTTCTGCTTGATATGTCCATTTACGTAGAAAAGACTCGCACTGGCGTTTCTGACTTGACAATGTCAAAAAACGGGAAACGAATGAGATGAGACAGTTCCGGTGGAGAAGCAGCTAAAGCTAACCGCTTGAGTCGATTGAGACAGCCAGGAGTCATCAAGGATACGCAGTTTACTCGTCTTAAGGCAACTGGAACCACCGTTCATAGACTATTCCTTTGCGTACTCTAAATCACGCAAGTAAGGGTGACCATGAAGATCACTCCTGAAGGTGTGCAGCACTGTCATGCCATCCCAGTCTGCGCGGCACTTTCCAGTTCGTAGACACTACTCAGCCCTCAGAGATCAGGCTGGTGTCCTCGCTAGGCGCAAACTCCATGTTCACGAACGTTCCTTCTTTCATTCCCTGGATGTGCAAGCTAATTGATCGCTTAGCAATATTGATTAAATTTTCAACCAGGGACGTTAGTCCGTTCTTGTACATGAGCAGTTGACGTGCACTCCAACTTCAGCGGGGATGTCTCCATAGAACCAAAAGGGGTCGCTAGAGGACCGCAGTTTTATGGCCAGACTGGAATACGCAACAGTGAGGCCTACGGCAGATTGACTTCCACTTTACAAGCAGTATGTGGCAAGTCTATGTTCAACGGCTACACACTGTCCCAAGTACTTTTAAGTGTGTCTGTATAGCCATTTCATTCACATCAGAGCAGTACAATGAGGAAATCTTTCAATTTCCTAATTGCGGACCTTACCAGATGGAGTTCTGACACGTTGTAGTGCGCAGTTTATTGAAAAGCCACATGGATTGGACAGTAAACGAGTTTTCATGGGTTTGTATCTCTCAGTCAGAAGGGAAATCTAATACGAACCCCGGTTCATCATGCACACGCAATTTGTATTCCGTTTGCTAGTGAATGAACGAACGAACGAGGGTAGCCAACGCTTTACGGCGAAATAGCCACTCTGGGTGAGTTCAATTCGAAGTGCGCTTCCGAACCTGCATTGAGATTGGGACGTCCTCTAACACCCATCGTTCAGCTGTAGCACCCTTTCGGTGCTTAACTGCCATGTCACCAGAATGAAGCGTGAGGTCTGGGATACTGCCAGGTTGCCCAAGCCTAGATGGGAAGTCGAGAGACAGAGGTCGGGTTCGAACCACAGACCTTCCGATCAGTAAATCCGCGCTCTAACCACTGAGCCTTCTAACGCCCAAGAAGGAGTTGTTTCTGCGTTTGCCGTTTAAAGCCCATGCTCGTGAATTTATAGCGCTGGTTACTCTTACCACTACCCGCATGTCGTTTTCTCTTGATATGTTTGAAGGTTGAGGACAATCTACCAGTTCACAACTCATTTATGCTAATTTATTATTCCGTTTGCGAGTGTTCCGCAGACTACGCACCTTTCCATGTGTGTCCTTCGACTCATACCTTATCAGAAGCCGTGAAAACCACTTACTGGCTGTCACTAACTACTTACTCAAAGCAGGCTGTTTCGTAGGCATAGACACTGCGTTTAAAATCATGTGCCGTGTCCCACCAAATGGATCGAAGACACCGGAACGTCCGATGTGCCAACTCAATCGGTCTCGGTGTGCACAAAAACTACTATTTTAGGCATCTAGATTACCTTGGCTGATAGCCTGCCCAAAGCAAGCACACCCAAATCCTCACACTGTCTTTCCGTTGCATACTGGGTCACCTTGGGCTTCACAATTCCCTTTCCAACCAAGTGCCATCTCGAATCGGAGAAAATCCACAAATTTTCAGGCTTAGTAGACTTGTTACAGGAGCATTGGTCCATCGAGACGCTATTTCCGTGCTCCAGACTCATGGAGGGATGTCGCTAGTCCCCATACGTTCTTCTTTAGCCTTTCTATCGACCGGACGCAGCTATGTGCATTCAAATTCACAAAAACCTGCGATTGGTTCGAAGCTAGTCTGAATCCTCCGTTTAATTCAGCTTGTTTTTCAGGTGAGTTGTAAGTGGAATACAATTTGCTGTTCAGGCAGCAGAAGGCGCGCGACCGAAATTCCAAGACCGCGTCCCTATTCAATGAGGTCCGACCAGGCGAAACAGCTAGTGCGCCGTCGCCGACTTCCATCATTCGTAAGAGTAGTATCGCTTGTCCATGGTAGCCTTACCGATAAAAGGAAACAGATCACAAATCTTCAGCTGTGTAACTGGAGAGGGTTTTTCAAACCAGGTTTACTTCACAACTGTTGAATGGTCGTAATTTCGAACACAGAAACGGCAAATGGATCTGGAGTTATCCCAATGGTTGCTCGATATCTCAATTGACACTGGAAACGGTTGTTTCGCGACTGATTGTCTACTCTTGTTTTCTGTCACTTTTTGTAAACCCCAGTTTTTGTCTGACGTCTTGTGGAGTGAGTACTCATATTTGGTTGGAAGTCTCAGATGATAACTCGAGGGTCTGTGAATAAAATTATTAATATTCTTGTGGCTGAGTGCAAATTTATAGCGTCCGCGTGACATTGTTCCTAATTGGATGTAAGGACAGGAAATTCTGGCGGCACAAAAGTGGTCGATAAAAAATAACCCCAAATATTCCATTGCATGCGTAGTCATTGTTGCGCCATACCGATTTGAACAAATTTCAGGGAAGTGTACTCAACCCATCTTCGAATCGTTTTCACCGCTTACAAAGCGAACACGTTGATGGTAAAATCTCACCGAGTGCTTATCGAACCTAGATTTCTTCAAGACGTGCGTTATCAAGCCGTTTATTTTTTTTGAAACCCCGTTCTTGGAGTGCAGTTGTAACAAAATCAGGACACAGCTGCTGGCACGTGTTTTCGAAACCCACTCTTGAAAGGTCCCGAGTTACTACCAGTGAGGATTACTTGGGTTTACTGGTAGTCCACCAACTGCCGTCAAAATCTGTTCTGTTGAGTCAGCAGTTTTGTGTGCTACCATTCTCGGTGTTCTCTACCAGACAGTTCAGGTTGACATTCCTGCTAAGGTTTCAACCAACCACGTATATGTTACAAATGTCCTCTGTTTGTCCGTTTCATATTCTCTTTTCCTGTTTCTCTCCACTTATCCCTCTCTGCTTCGTTGGTACTCGTGTGTGTTTGGCTGCGCGTTATTTTTACCCGTGTTGTTGTTGAAACTACAAATTTTCCCTGGGGGATGATCATTTCTTGCTCAATCTATTGCATTCTGCGCTTGTTTTTTTTTCGCATCGTATTCACCAAAATGGCAACCCATCCACCGATTCCCAACTATTCTATTGTGCTGCGATTCTACCCGGGTGGATTCTAATTTCCATCTCTCTTGACTTGAATCTTTGTCCGTCTTATCTTGGAAATGCATGGCCTTCGCACGCTTGGTGATTCTCGGTCCATTTTTCTGTGTGCTCTGCTCACTCTTAACTGGTCCCATCGATCTAATCAGAGTTTCACGGTGCATTCCCCTACCCTATCTGACCCCATTCTCACTGTGCCATTGTCAAAATGGCAATCGGATGAACTGCGATATGCTCCCATGTTGGCCGCTACTGGGATGAAGGGAGGTCGAGCTCCTCCAGACGGTCGCAAGCCCATTCGGACGGGCGCGGGAGTCACTCCTGCTGTTCGGTGTAGTCCAGAAGGCACAGATGATGGAAAACATGAATCTCAGGTATGCTATCTGATATTTTCACTTCCTTGAATCTCCGTGAAGAAATCATATCTTATCGTTCATAGGATTGGATTTACATGAAACGAGCACTAAGCTGTCTCTAAGCTCGAATCAGCTGTGGCATAAGACTGGCTCGCGTGAATCTGACTGTCTGTGCCGATCTAATGGACTCCAACAAGCGCCATGTTCCCGGGCACACTACCACAATACTTCATTTGTCAATCGTTTTCAAGCCGTGTGGAATTCATTGTTAAATTTTGCTATGGTTCTAGCAAATGTGTATCAGTTCGCAGTATGCTTTTATCTATAACATCCCAGGGTGTTGAAATCAAGTGACATTGTGTCTTCTGCTCTAAATTAAACCATCCACCCTTTTGTGCTCAAACCATTACCTTTATATCCGAACATCACCACTACTTTGGTACGAGATGGCTCAAGTAGTTAGAGCGCAAATTTACTGACCGGAAGGTCCGTGGTTCGAATTTGACTCTGCCTCTCGACTTCCCCTGTCTAAGCTTGGGCAACCTGGCAGTATCCTAGCCCTCGTGCCTTGGGGTGCAGGGCAGCTAGGCACCGCAAGGATATTACAGCTGAACGACTTCACCACTGCTTCCTCTCTGCCAGTGTTGGCAGAATACAAAAAAGGCTAGAAAGGTTCGCAGAAGAATGCACAAACTTTACAGATGGGACGTATCATCACTAGTCCATTCAATCAATCATGGTAGACCATGGAGCTTCACGCAAAGCTTGAAACAACCAGCTGCTCGACGCACTTCGAGGTGAAAAAGGTGCTGGTACTCTCATATTATTATCGTTACGATCACCATTGCTACTTTCGTAAGGAAGAAAGCCCTTCGCCGTAAAGTCGTTCATTAGCAGACACCAACGAAACAGTTACAAACTGTTGGACATGAAAGTAAATGTCTCATATGCACCGTGTTTTTAAAAACTGAACATCCTCAAGCGTCTACTTGAATTTTCGTGGATATTCATTGACTTTCACGCAATTGTAAATGAACGCTGCAAAGCAGTTCCACAAGTTGCGTAAGAAACTTCACAAGCTTGGGCAACCTGGCAAGTATCCTAGCCTCGTGCCTTGGGGTGCAGGGCAGCTAGGCACCGCAAGGATATTACAGCTGAACGACTTCACCACTGCTTCCTCTCTGCCAGTGTTGGCAGAATACAAAAAAGGCTAGAAAGGTTCGCAGAAGAATGCACAAACTTTACAGATGGGACGTATCATCACTAGTCCATTCAATCAATCATGGTAGACCATGGAGCTTCACGCAAAGCTTGAAACAACCAGCTGCTCGACGCACTTCGAGGTGAAAAAGGTGCTGGTACTCTCATATTATTATCGTTACGATCACCATTGCTACTTTCGTAAGGAAGAAAGCCCTTCGCCGTAAAGTCGTTCATTAGCAGACACCAACGAAACAGTTACAAACTGTTGGACATGAAAGTAAATGTCTCATATGCACCGTGTTTTTAAAAACTGAACATCCTCAAGCGTCTACTTGAATTTTCGTGGATATTCATTGACTTTCACGCAATTGTAGATGAACGCTGCAAAGCAGTTCCACAAGTTGCGTAAGAAACTTCACTTTCCGTTGGACGCGAGGCGGAGTTACAATGAAACCATATACTACTCGCACACCTCATCAGTAGTGTCCGCCGGCACACCATTATGTAACGCTATTTCGCCTGATCGTGGAGAATTCAGGATTTTAACACAAGAGGACCAAACAGAAGGTGTGTTTGATCTTCATTTTCGCAACAGCAAAACGAATGATTGTTAGTTAAGATTGGTACAGTCCTCCAGGACTATTGAGTATGGGCCAATACTGCCCATTCGACCTTGATAACCTTGATAACAGCGCCAGCCATCAGCAGTCACCGGCTTCGAGATCACTGTGAACGTGAATCATATATCAGCGCTCCAGATGTTCCCATGGATGAGCAACTTCAACGGGTTATCAGATGGCTTTGGTTCATGCGTAAACTTTGAGTCGGGCTTGTTTAGAACTGACCTTGGCTTGTTGGTGAATACAGTGATTGCTCAGCTATTTTGGCCTTGGCCTAGGTCTATATATTCTTCAACTTATTGGAGCCATGGTTAAGGTATACGTGCGTTTTATTTTCCTAGTTACATTATTTCTGTGTAGCGTTTTATTTTCTGTGTACTGGATACGACCAGCTCTGATGAGCGAGTTGATCGTTGAGGTTGACAAACTTGTTGCACACGTTTCGTCACCAATCAAGGTGACGTCGTCGGCTTGTAATCCGATACCAGTGCGTGGTTGTGTCGGCCTTCACAGTAACTTCGAACCGCTGTCCAACCGCGCACGGATTATTTTATCTCGATTGGTGACGAAACGTGTGGAAAAAAGCTCCAAAATTTCATCAACTAGAATTCCTGGGTTACCAACCTCGATATTTGTCCATAATTGACTTTGTCCGACCTGGTTCTCGTGCCAATGTGACATTATCACTAATGGGGAAAATTTTCCGACCAGACGGTTGACACTTTCTCCCAATGTTTTCCTCTACCGCAGGACGACTGCATGCCTGTCCCGGACGGAGCTGATGACTATCTAGCTCCGGCTTTCCAACTTTGGGCGGACTGTGGATTAAGCGTAGAACCGAGACTTCGTCGAGTTAGTGACAGTGATACAACGAACCCCACTGCCCGTTGGATAGACATAGTCCGTCTCTATCCTGTTCGAAGTTGGCCGTGTCTAAAATTATGCGAACCACAGCCGATATCGTCAACCTCGAGCGATTTCAACGATCAGTCCAATGAAGACTCTAAATTTCCTTTGCGTTGCCGGTCCTATACACCCCCATCCATGGCACTGGTAGATTTTGACGGATCCATCGTGCCTTCACGACTTTGTCGGTCTTTGCAAGAATTGTGGGATTCCGAATATCCACCGTCGTTCCTCCGTAACCAAGATGATTCAGCACCCCGGGGGAAAGCCGTTGGCAACGATTGAGGAAAGGTTGTTTTCACTCGTGCCTGGTTAGTCCTTCAAGCCTCTTTGGCCTCTACCATCATTTCTCCGTCGGTAATGTCTTCACGGTTGTTTCGGACCTCATTACACTCTTTAAGGTGTATCAGAATTAGTCCACGTGTTTTATAGTCTACCATTTCAGTCCTGGTCATCATGTGTTTTCTCATCGTAGCGCCTAATTGCACTCTCGATCTCTACCAACCCCTTTCTTCAATTCTGAACACCTTAGCGTCCCCTTCTCAGGGAAGCTTTTCTACCTTTTGTCGTAAAACTCCCATCTCATTCCGAATAAGCTCGGGTTATCTAGTTTTTAATATCGTAACTCAATAAAAGAAAACAGAGCGATATGAAGACGGGTTCCAGTAAATCACACAAAAATATGATCAAAGAGTGTGCACGCAGATCACCCTCCCGGGAGTCTTCTAACCCTGTGTCTTTCAGGCGCGAACCCACAACAGCCAAACCAAGCGAATTCGACGTCCGTTCAGCTTCTTCATACTACTTCTTTCCAGTCTGCCATACCTGAAGAAACCGTAAGGTAGTTTCCAAGCTCGCTCATGAAACGCAACCCAGTCACTCACCTAGTCTATCGAACTCTTCGAACACACAACTAACTCGCTTTCATCATTTTACTATGCTCTACTCGTCTTTCGGTGACCTCGTTTTTCTGTATCAGCTCAAGAGACGCTTTCTTATAAGATCGTCAGTATATGATTCCAGAATGGGGTTCATATCGATCGAATGGTTGGTGCACAATGAGTGCATTCCGTAAAAGGTCCGACCGTACTTCAGCTAACCAATAGTAATCAATATAAAAACATATCGATGTTGCTTAACACTTCTTTCAAGCGGTTCGCCTTGAACACCGCAAATCTTTCGGCGGAATGATTGAATTTTGTTCCGCGTTTACTGCTGAGTAGGCACCAGTCTTTCCTGCTTGTTTTTTTGACTCGCTTGCGTCATTGAAATGCAAACCGAGCGACGACTGGCTTGTCGCTTCTCCCCCCTTACTTGTGTGCTGTCACATGCGCTGTTTATCAATGCGCATAGAGATTTGTGCAGTTTTTTTACGTCACCATGTTAGTGCTTGAACTGCTTCCGTCTGTCTTCCGTCGATATCATACTGGGATTGAGCACTGTGTTGTGTTGTACAGCAGTGAAGCGTCAGTGCCAACACTGACGTTGCTGTCTTTGCTGATGTTGCTGATGTGTTGTGTTGGTTGTGATGGCATCAGAAATCAGATCAACAAAGCTACAAGTTTCTCATCCATGTGGATAGACGTACTGTCAGGGCGGGCCCAGACAGAAGAGAAAGTGCATGTGCAGAGAGTGACGCATCCCCAAGGTCATCATCGGTTCGACACGTCCAGAAGGTAGGTGAGTTGGCGGCCCTCACCAAACGGCTTAGCAACACACGACCAGCGTAGTGGGCCTGAGAATGTTCGCGACCGGAACACCACCATTGGCTGTACGGAGCGAACAAGTAAACGACCATGTTTGGCTAAGTGGTCATCCTATATATTTACGCAGACGCTCTGTACGTTTTATCCTGGCAATACAGCCGTGTCCCCAGCTCTCTGTCTTCTCCCTATTGCGTAGTCTGGCAGGCGCAGTGCAGGCGTAACCAATAGCTCGGCCACCGCACGACACAACATGTACATTGCTTGTTGGCTCGATTTCGTCGCTGTCTGGAGATACTTCCCGGTAGTTCATTCTTCACCCCAAGGCTTCTGGATTTCTTCATCGAGCCCTTTATTTGTATCATTCAGACTGCGTCTTATCTGACGACCATTTATTTTGATTGATCAAATTGATGATAGACATGTTGATATTGGTGAGGATAGACTCCTCACCCACTATTCACTCATTATCCTCTTCCGAATTGTGTTCACTTAGCGTTCACTGTCCTATTGACTTATTCCATAAGTCAGGCTGTAGTGCTCTACTGCAGGCGTTGTCGCCACTGGAATTAAAATCCATCTTGCAGGTACTCCTCGGTCACCGGAAATGTTCAAGGTCAATGGTTCATTTGTTTCGAAAGCCAATATGCCTGTAATTCAGGAGCAACACGATTGAAATCTTGTTCCAAGTGAGAGCCATTTCCTCAGGAGTTCAATTACTCTCCGTTAGGGGACGTGTATCGCTCTGGTTCTTCTCAGTTCGGGGCCCCGTGAAGGCGAGTGTTGAGGTTCTCGAATTTCACATTTTCTACGTGCTTAGAAAACGACTTACGTCTATGTGACATGCATCATACTCAAGGGCAATGGAGCCAGTTTCCATGGTCACCCTAGTTAGCTTGGTTTTCTATTCCCTATTAGAGCGGGGGCGAGATGGCTCAGTGGTTAGAGCGCGAATTTACTGACCGGAAGGACCGTGGTTCGAATTTGACCTCTGCCTCTCGCCTTCCCCGGTCTAGGCTTGGGTTTTCTTCGGGTAGTATGGCAGCTAGGCACCGGAAGGGTGTTGCAGCTGAGAGGTTTCTCTATTAGAACAGCTTCTCAGGTTTTTTCGTGAGCTGGACTCAACAGTATTTTGCAGTCTGCACCTCACAGCTCGCTCACCGAAATTCCAAAGCAATCACTTGAAGGAATAAGTCACGTCGAAACCTGTTCCCATTGGCGCTTGAGGACCTGTGAAAAAGGTACCTCAAATCGAATTGTTTGGCTGTGTGGAACACTTCCAATGAGGAAATAGTTACGGTGTTCACCGTTTGTCAGTTGACTACCGAGATCAAAATGAACCAATTAGAGAACGGAAAATCGTAAACTGTGGACGGTTCGATCATACTGACTGAACTGACGGTAATACAACGAGAACAGATCGATAAATGGAGATGCAGACTAAAGGCTGCCAATCGTGATCCGTCGATAAGCACTTGCAGCTACACAACCGGAATTTTTTGTAGCGCTCAGGTGAATGAGTATCTGTTCTCGTAAAAATGATGGTGGATGTTTTACAGTACAGTAGTACAGTACGTACAGTACAGTACAGTACAGTACAGTACAGTACAGTCCAGTTCTATGCCCGAGAAACAGGTTGGGTTGCTAAAAAGTACGTTGGGTTTTCATGCATTTTGTTGCTGTCTCACATCTGCCACCGTTGTTTCTTTTCTTCTTTCCAGTTTCTTTTCTTCGACCGAGATCTACATTGAAAATTGATTTCCATTCCTGGCGACCAAAGAGTCTCGTTCACCCAGGTTCCATTTGCTGCACGCACATCCACCAAGATTAGCCACCCACCCACAGTTTCACATAAACAGGCCAAAAATATCCTGCATTGGCTTCCGTTCGTTTCACTTACTAGCTTTCATGATTGGATGACACAAAATTGGTGTGCGCCTATTACTTTTTTGCATCCCACTATTGATTGAGAAAGCTTTCATTACCGGAACACGTACCATGGACCTCCGCGATCCTGAACCAAGCCATTTGTTCGATAATCAACCATCGCCAAATCAGTCATTAACAATCAAAATCCCCAATGCGACCTTGTCTTTCTTTTCTGTGACACCTTTGCTTATGTTTTTTGGATATCTGATCAATACTTTTTCCATTACTTTAGCCTAATTCGAAATTAATTATTCTGAATCAATTTGCGTTCTTCGATTGGACTGGACTTTTCTAAAATGACTCGAGATATTAGAATGGCGGTATCCGCACTCATCCTGCCATCTGCGGTAATATTGGGGGTGATAGGCTCTGTTTAATCCTTTTAAGAACAGAGAGTCGAACCTAGCGAATATACACTCATTTGCAAACTAATTTGGTTTTTTCGAGAGCCTCGCCTGGAACCCAACTGAATATCTCGTATGTGATGTTCTCAGGCAACTGAATGTGCTGCGCTAGGCCGCCTCATGTTTCAGTCGCTACGATATTCGAGATGTCGCGATACATGTATATACTTGTAATATACTACTCATACGGTTGCTGAAAATCCATCGACAGCCCACGACCGGTTTCGCCCTTTTTGGGGCTCATCAGGTAGGCGCAGTCCCCGAGTTTCCGTCAAAGCAAATTGCACGAAATTAGCGATATCTCGAATATCGTAGGGACTGAAACATTAGGCGGCCTGGTGCAGCACATTCAGTTGCCTGAAAACATCATAAACGAGAGATTCAGCTGAGTTCCAGGCGAGTCTCTCGAAAAAACCAAATTAGTTTGCAAATGAGTGTATGTTCGCTAATTTCGTGCAATTTGGTTTCAAGTAGAACAACATAAGGTTGACGGAAACCCGGGTACTTCGCCTGCCTGATGAGCCCCAAAACGGGCAAAACCGGTCTTGGGTTGTCGGATGGATTTTAGCGACCTTATGAGCAGTACATTACAAAGATATAGAGAGTGGAATCCTTTTATTTTAACGTGACTTAAGGAGGGGCTTGAAAAATATCCACGTTATCAACGGATCAGTGCTTGTGTGTTTAAGACCAAAGAAAATCAGTTGGTTCTTGGCGAAATTTCGGTCCGAACCCCCGCACGTTCTCCGCAAATCGTTGGTGTTGGCAAGCAGGTGTGGTGCCAGTGGACACCATCACGTCAGCGCGACTTTTAAGAACCAATACGACCGCTTAGACTATCGATCGATAGAATGGCACGCACATTTAGTCCCGAGTACGTCATGACACGTCCATCTAGTTTGGGCGTTCTCGGTACCTAATTAAATGGAGTTCCGGTCAGTTTTTGAAGGACAGAAAGCAAGGACTCCAGTGGAATGCCCCGCCTAAGTACTGAAGGACACAGGGGCTGTGTTGCTTTTTGGACGCAAAACATGCAGCTCTAGCTTACCTAAAAAATCGATCTCGACCGGAGTTTTTTCCGTTTCTGAAGAATGCCCTTCGTAGTCCTATGAAGTAGGCCATCTACTCATGAGTTCACAGCAGGAACCATGGCACATGAACGCAAAACTGTTCCACTTAACGGCCGGATGTCACCCGTGCTGCAAACGCATATTGACCGCGCCATCGATTTTGCCACTAAGTTGGTGGCAATCTGTTCAAACGTGGACAGAAGTTAAGAAGCCTGGTGTAGGTTAAGAAGTGGAAAGTCAGTATGCATGTCCGGTGCTCTGAAAGTGAACGTGAAAACAGCAAAATATGAATCAACTGGTTTCAAATAGATAACCGCAATGAAGCATTAGTTTCGGGTATCCTAAGGACAACACGACTCAAGCTGAGTGAGACTGTGCATGAAGAGAGTGGACTTTCTGTGACGACTTCTGCCTCGTTTTTTGTTATTCCGGTTGCTTCCGTGGTTTGAATCGCTCGTCAGTCGTACACTTGCTGGGTCTTTCGTAAATATGATCGAACATGTGAAAGTCAGCTGTTATAAAAGCAAATACAGACTACAAGAAATAGGATACCCAGTGAGTTTGACGAGGCGGTAGTTAAGATGGATATTGGCTCCGGTGTCAAGACCCAGCAAAGAATGGACTGACACAGCAGTCATTCCATATAAAGCAGGAGATTATTCGAGGACTGCTGAACTCAGCCATCATTCGAGTGGCTTGCCAGCCGGGAAAAAGCTACGCTCAGTTTTGGTGCAACTTAAGGGTCACATCCCCATTGAAAGCACTAGGAGCTGTGTATAAAACTAACTGCAACGATTGTAATAAGGTTTACTTAGGACACATTGCCAAGACTGGTGAAAAAAAGGAGGATAAACAAACCACCAAGGAATGCGGAAGAATAACAAACGTTGCTCAAATACTCAGCGATGTTGGCACATAACTTAGATACGGGACTGGATTAGATCTGGAGAAAGTCAAAGTTTTAAGGCAACGACTGCGATCCCCACCACAGCGGCTCATAGCTGAGGGGGTGGAAATTACCAGGCATCACAGCGTGAATAGAATCGAGGGTGTGGAACCGGCAAGCGTATGGAAAGCCGTCTTAGATAAGCCGAGTTGACAAGTGGCTGTATGGTTGTCAATCCACGTAGAATCATTAGCAAAAACTGAAAGGGGGTGGGTGTTGAGATCCCGACCCGACCAAACGTCACAGCATTCCTCTTACACAACTACCCTAGCACTAGCTCATCCACACAGATGGACGGAAAGTGCAAACAACGTTCAAGAGGGATCATCACCTGTACCGAACCGGAAGAACTAGACCCTAAGCTGGACCCGAATCCATACTGGTTTCCCTATCGGCTCATGACTTAAGGAACCACCGCAACACAAAATCCCTTGACCGACATCCAACAGAGATTTAGCTTGACTTAGCTGATTGGTTCTCCCTCCGCTTTAAACCTCGACCAACCTCGGAACCTAGTCAGTTGGCCTGACGAAGCTTTTGTGTCAAAAGCGAAACGTTGCCCAACAAAAAATCTACCAATTTTTACCAAATTTTCCTAAAAGCAAACACATCTCTCATGTGGCTATAACGTGCTTCATTCTGAAATTTTTTTTACTGGATTCCGGTTCGTGCTTCTACAGGTAGCCAAAAATTCACAACCTATTTGAGGAAGCAGCACTCATCAGAGAACAGAATGCTCATTCCGTACACCTAGCGAGGGGACTGTATGCAACTGCGGTTGGTACTGTTGCGGAGTACTCCACTCAAGATGAAGTCATCAGTTATTGGATGCCAACGACGTTCTGAATGCGCGTAACAATCTCAATTCATGTAACCACTGGTCACTTAAGCGTCTCTGTAGGATGGGGGCGTGGGCACCAGACGATCACTACAGGGAATCAGTAATGAATATTCGGTCAGACCACTGGTATGTTCGCTAGACAACCTAATTACTCCACTCCTTCAACTTCTACAGTTCATTTCAAATGACGATAGTCTTCCCGTTTAAGCGCATTCGGGTATGAATACATTTGGGTATGAATATAATTTAATAGAATAACTCTTCATTTATACAGCCTGAATCTTCCTACTCACGAATAAACACTAGTTTGTCACCAGCACACCCTATTGAAGTGCGATCATTAGACAGTAGACAGGGATTTTCGACTCTGAGTACGAAGTCAAAGTTTAGAGGTGTCTTTTTACTCATTTTATGCGTGTTTGCACCCACCATACCACCGTCTGCCGACTTATAGCCTACAACAAAGCTGCCCGTTTTCTGGTTCACTGCGTAATTCACGCAAGCTACTAACTAGTGACGTTGACGTAGATCATCTGTGAGTCTTTCAGGTAGGAATGTTACTAACGATATCTGAAGTTCAAGTGAATAAGCAAGATATATAGAAAGCGTATTCAGTTGCGCAGGTAGGTGGGCGCTGGTCTGGCAAGCGAAAGGTTGCGTTTCATATCCATACACTAACGTCCTTTCATGTTTCTGTTACTAACAACAATTCAGTAGCGCGAAAATAGACCCACCATTTGACCGTTTCTCAGCATGTATTCCGTCACTCAATCAATCCGTCCTTCAAATAGACATAATGAAAAAATCCGTCCTTTTAGAGAGTTGACTTTTGTATACTGTGATGAGAAACCAACCATATGAGTGGGCATTGGCAATGTAGTTAATGGCTGCTTCGGGTAGTTAGAATCCTCGATTTCCCGGCTCCTAGATGATGACCAAACCATTCGGTCCTAAGAAACCTGGTTACCAAAGTTTGAAAAGACACTCCATTTGAAAATATCATCACTAGGTACACAGTTCGGTGGGATTGTGTTCCGTACTCAAAAACGCGTAGCTGCTACCTTCCCTCGTGGGACCTATTAATGTGACTTGTTTGACTCCTTGGTCACGGTGTTCACGATGAACATTGATTTCTAGTTGCTTGCCCCCTTGGGCTTTCTTCTGTCTGGTCTGTTTTAAGAGAAAAACTGGCAGAACTGATGTCTTATAAGTGATTCCAGGGTGGAACTGAGACTTGTTCCACCAGAACTCTAGTGAAACCTCCATACAGGCAACTATGTATATTTTTACCCAAAAAGGCAAAACATGGGCTGTAACGTAAGTACCGTACTACACAGTCCCTTGTTTGTTTAACCATATCAGATCATGCGTTGGGTGGAGAGCAAAATACTCCACATTATGACTGCACTGTTCTCACTTTGTTGGGGGCCTTGCACAGTTTTTTTTCACGCATGACTTCCAACGTATTGTGTTCACAATATTCTACCATGCAATACAATTGTGAATTAACTATCGTGGTCATGTTCGCATATCCGTGGATTTGAATGCAAATTCTGTTTTCCAAATAAGACGCATGTGAAAACTAATCATAAAACCTTACGAATTGTTAAAAACGACTAAGGTATGAAAAAATGGCACTGTAACTTTTTGCCTGCATAAAGAAATGTGAGTGTTGTCCAGAATGGTGGGAAAAAATAGGTTCTCAGTCATCTGTTTCAAAAACCGCACGTTTTCACTGTAGTCAAAATGATGCATATACGCCAACCTAAGAACCTTAAGCATTTTCTGAGCGGCTGTCACCTCGATATTCACTAGCTGGTATCCATTCACCTGAAGAGTTATTTCACTAGCCAACATTCTTTCGTGTAAACTAATTTCCAAACACAATAAATCACGGGTAATGATAACCTTGAGGTGGTTTATCCTGACACGGGTTACTGTTGTATGCTCTTCAGGAGGCAGTCTCTTTCTCGGATGGGAGATTCTTGACGATGGAGGGCTTCT